AGTATACACAAAGCAACCAAATTTAATACCCAGATGTCCCCATCCCGCCTCACCATATCCAAAATCTCCACCCCAAAGCAACCCCATTTCTTCAACCTGCTTCATAATTTTCTCCATCCCTTCATCACCAAACTAACGCAATTCACTTTTTTTTTTTAAATAAATTTTTAATCTAATATTAATACCCCTCTGGCATTATTATCATAATTTGTATTCCACTTGGCTTTCTCTCTCTCTGTTTTCTTGATCTTCATTGTTTTCTGGGTTGGTTAAAAATAAAAAAGAAAAAGGGAGTGAAAATGATGAGCGGGCTTTTCCGATCCAAATCTTGTGGGCAGGTCGGACTTACAGATGGGCCGTTCTTTCACCGGAGATATAGCAGCAACGTGGAAGACAATGGAGGGGAAGAAGAAGAAGAAGAATTTAACGAGGAAGATGACGACGATGATATCGAGGGAAGTGAAATTATGAAAAAACAGATTCCGACGCCGTTTATAAGCCCCGAGTCGAGCTTTGGGGGTGAGGGGCGAAATGGTAATTCCATGTCGAAGTCTAATCATTTTACAATTCTGGATATTTTGGTGGGGGGATTGCGGAAGTCGCTGGTCATGTGCGGCGTCGAGAGTGGCGATGTGGTGTCGAGAGTGGCGATGTGTCGCCGATGGACATCAGCTGGCTGATGGAAGTCAGGCACGTCTCCCACGTCACCTTCGACCAGTTTAATGGGTTCCTCAGTTTACCCACCGAGTTCGAGTTGGAGGTTCCTCGGAAGGCACCCAGCGCCAGGTCTTCTTCTTCAATTTCTTTTGGGGTTTATTTCAATTTAACATTTTGTTTGCTAATTAATGTGATTAATGCTTCTCTTAGTTATTTATGGGTAGGATTATTAACCAGATAAAATTCTCTTAATTTAGTTTATTGATTGATTCATCGCGAACCCAGGAATCTTCTTCCCCCATCCTTTCCTTTCTTCATTTTTTTTTTTCTTTTACCTCCAGGCGAACCCAGGAGCTGGGTTCGTCCTGAACCCAGGTGCCTGGGTTTGCCCTGAACCCAGGTGCCTGGGTTTGCGAGGAACCCAAGCTGTTGGGATTGCCTGGAGGTAAAAAAAAAAAAAAAAAAAAGAGGCCGGAGGAAGTGGAGAGTGACGTGAAGGGTGTCATTAAGCATCTTTTTTACACGTTGACGTACCTATATCAGTTGTTTCAGTTAAATTAATGTGCCACGTGAGTAAAAATTAATGAAAGGGCTAAGTTTCAGTTAAATTAATGTGCCACTTGAGTAAAAGTTAATGAAAGGGCTAAAAAAGGATCGCATTTTAAAATTTAGAGATAAAAGAAGAGATTTTTTTAATATAGGGACCAAAAAAAGATTTTTTCTTATAATAGAGGGATCAAAAAAGATATTTAACCTTTATAATTTGTGTTTTTTTTAATTATGTTTCTACTAATTTAGATATTAATGTATTTTATAGTTATATTTTGTACTTGATGTTAAAATGTTTTACATTATCTTATATATTTAATAATTTTAAAAACTAATTAATTCGACCGAACCACACCAATTTGATTTAAGTTAAATTAGTTTGATTATCATATAATAGTAGATTGAATTAGTTTGAAAATTTTACTAACTAATTAAATTAAATCAGTTTAAAATTTTTTTTAATTTGAACCAAACTACACCTGAACACCCTTACTTATAGATTATTATACAATTGTTATAAAAGCATAAACAAAACTATAAAAGTAGGAGGAATATCACCAAGATCATTTTAAGCTACTGTACATTCCTAATTGCTATGCCAACTTCAAAAGAAAATAAGGAATCCAACAAATAATAGTCCTCATCCATTCAATGTCAAATGAGAATCCGCACTAGCTTGTGGAGAGTTGGAGTCTCCTTTAATGACCACTGTTATAATTTGATTTTTACCCAACATTTTTATAAAAATTCTCAAATTTTGATAAAAATATGAAAATATGAAAAATAATAAAATTAGACACAAATTAGAAAATTAATAAGTATAGATATAAAAATAAAATTTGGGAAGGAAAATAAAATGTAAACAAAAAATAATAAATGAAAAATTTCGGACTTGTTTGTGAACTAACCAAAGTTTTATTTTTTGTTTCAGTGATTTGGACGAGAGAAAATAAAGATTTGGGATTAGAATGTCAAATTGTTGAAAGTTGAACGCTGCAGTTCGTTTCTCAAGCCTGAAACGACGTCATTTTAAGCTGGGGGAATTTCTTTGATCGGCCGCGATTCTGCGTTCTCTCCCTTCCCTGTAACTACCTCTCCAGAACTTCTCCAACGAACTCCGTGGTTCTCGACTGCCATTCTCCTCTCTCACTGGGGATTTCCATATAAAACTCTCAGACCTCCTTTTCCTGAAGGAGCTCCTGGTTTTCCTTCCTTTCCGACCTCTCCTTGGTTCCCCTCCCGATTTCACCTCCTTCCTCTTGCGATATCGCCTCCTCTCTAGACGTCCCCTTTCTCTTCCGATCTCCCTCTCCCTTATATCCTCAATCTTTCATCTCCGACTCTATTCCAAAACCACTACTAGATCTCTGGAACGACAATCTGGTTTCAGGTCCAGAACTCAACGGCGGATTCCAGGTATTCTCTTATTTTCCGAGTCCGATTCCAGTGCCGTTTCTGCAGTTCCTGCTTGGATCTCGGAGGTTCCGGTGCCCCTCCATCACTATCCAGATTCCAATGTCGTTTCCAGCTCTGGTGTGCTTAATCCCGGCGATTCAGTAACCTTAGACCTCTTTCGGTAAACCTCTCTTCACTTAGCATTTGTATATTAGGTCTAAATTCCTCTTCCTTTATTTTTTCGATTAATCTTCCTTAATCTCTGGCGATTTAGATCCAATATTGAAGTACTTAGGGGACAGAGGGCTAGGTGGAGCCCACCGGATTGGCCCGCTTTGCTGCCCCTGCTCTGTTTGTTTGTTGGGTTAATAAGGTTGAAGATGAGATTTCTGTTGATTTGTGATGTTTTCCATCTCTGTTTCTGTTTTGCGAATTTGTTTGCATTTTCTCTGAATTTAATTGGCTTTTGATAGACCTGTGCATTCTGAAATTTCTGATAGCATCTTGAAATTGCAGTATTATTTTCATATCTCTGCTTAGTTCATTATTTTCTGCATAGTTGGATTTGCACACGTCTTCATCTCATTACTCAGATCATCCTTGTAATTTTCATGACTTCGTAAATTGTTAATAAATACTGTGCTTGCTACATTCATTTTTTCTTTAGGTCTGTCATGGCATTTGAAACTTGTCACTATATATCCCTTCGTTTGGGCATAATTCCCGAGGACAAGCATTAAAAAAAAATCTGTTTCTGTTTGATTTGGTTTTTCGATATACGATATACTAACCATTTTGTACTCATACAGTCCAGTGGACTTTCCTTTGCTCCCTGCGTTGTACAAATTGATCTTTCAAGCATGCTTTTTTCCTTATACAACCTAAAAAATATATTCTGTCGTGTCGCATGCGTTCTAATTTTCCCTTTGGAATTTTGTTTGATTCTAATTTTGTTTGTCTCGGGGTTTGTCCACCTAGCTTGCTGTTTGAAGGAACTTCCTCACTTTGATGATTTCAACAGAAAGGGTATAATATTCTTTTGTTTGTGAGGGCAATACTTCTGTGTACTTTATTTGGAAAGGAATGAAAATCCATGTTTGTTCATTATCCTTTGTTCTAGTGATGTTTAGTATTGAAATGTGTTTCTTTAATTTCCTTGTTCGTTCAAATTAGTATTGCACGTCCAGCTAATTTGAGAATTCATTGTGCTGATTCGCAAGAAATGAAAGAAATATATACTACATGATTTGATATGTTCTTTAGTTTACTGTTCGTGAATGCTTGTTTTCTCTTTAGTACTATTGCAAGGAATTAACATAATAGCAAAAATGCATATGATATGCCCAGTATAAATTTTTATTTAGAAGAATTGAATTCAAATTTTTTTAAATATAAAAAATAAAAAATAAAAAGTAAAATACTTTGGATGCAATAAAAGGAGTTTTCATTTGCTTCTGGCTTTCTTGAATTCATAGTAGAAATTTACACATTTGCTTTGCATACACTTAATCTTCATTTTCTTAAATAAATAAAAATTGAATAAATTTCCAACAAAAAAAAAAAAAAGAGAAAAGGAAGAAACTCCAACAAAAGAGAGAAAATTCTCAAAAAAGGAGAAACTTTCACTTTTATTCATCCTTCCTAATCACCACCATTGAAGGATAGAGAGAGTAGTTAGGGAGAAAAGAAGAAGAAAAGAGGGTGGCAACCACGGAGAAAAAAAAAAAAGAGGAAGGTGTTACGATTTCAAAAGTGATTCCCAAATCAGTTAACTTAGATGTAATTAATACATATTTTAACCATTAATTTACATAAAAATTTTTAAAAGTTTACATTAATTTTAAAAACTATTCAATTAAAATAATGCATGTAATATTAAAATAAAATTAATTTCAACTTTTTTAATTTTTTTACATAACCTAATAACTAAAAAATACATTAATTGTACCCTTAAAGGCACAAGTTAACAAAACCCAATACGAAAAGAAAAATTATTTAAAAATAACTTGTTTGGTATAAAAATTTTTATACAATTTTAAATGTCAATTAATATTTTCTTTTTTTACTCTACTTATAATATTATATATATTATTTATTTAATGAGATATGAAAATTATATAAAAAATTATAAAAAAATTATAAAAAAATTATTCTCATTCATTACCCATACCAAAAACAACTCAAGAACCCAAAATCACCCGTCCATCAAAATGAATTAACCATCATAAATAGATGAAAGCACTTCATTTGGATTTATATATTGAAATTAATATGCATTATCTATTAATAATATATTAAATCCAACATTTTTTTTTTGAAAATATTACTAACATCTAAGTCCTTAAACTAAGAAAGGTGCATTAAAGCCCTCAAACTCTGTCATTGATGCAAAGCAGCCCTTTGATAGAGTTTTCCCTTAGGCTTTGATCGGATTGTTAACGGATTTAATAAGAAAAGGGTTAATTTCAATCTAGTCCATGAATTAGTCAAATTTTAAATAAAATCAATCCCTAAACTATAACAAAATACTTTAAATGACTCAGTTTCTACCATTTAACTTTCTTTTATTACAAATCTATTTTGACCCAATTAAATTATGTAAATTAACAATAAGAAATTGTTCAAATTGTTTTTGGTTAATAATATAGTTGGATTAACAATTCAATCATATGATTCAACTAAATTATTTTTTATTCATTCAAAAAACTTAGATTATCGATAAAAATATATGGCATATCTAAAAATTTATTTTTTAATTAATATTTTTAAAATTAATTATTATATTTAAATTTTTATTCATATAAATCATATATGTCAATTTTTAAATTATTTTAATAAGTATAACCACTTTATTAGTTATAAAAAATTTAATATTATTAAATATATGTAAATAAATAAAAAATTTTTGATTAAAAAATTATAAATATTGAATTAATATAAAAGTTGACTAATATAAAAATTAACATACATTATCCATGTGAAAAAAATTTTTAATCTAATAATTAATTTTTAAGAATATTAAATTAATTAAAATATAAATTTTTATATATATGCTAAAAAAAAAAATCGAAAACGCGACTTTCCATATGGTATCTTCAAAACAAATAATTTAAGTTTTTCATGGTTAAGTAAGGCGAAGGGGTTCGTTGTGGGTCCCATGCTCAGGGAAGGACATAGACGGACAATTCAAGAAGGGCTAGGGAGAAAAGCTGGATCCACAAGGTTAAGGACAAAGGTGTCTCATGCCACAAATATGGGGCCGGAAAGGGGAATTTACCCTTTAAAACTATGAGAATATCGATACGGTTAACTCCATATATAATTTGGATACCCTTAACTCCCCCCGAAGACCACTTCCAGAGTTCCTCTTTTGACTCCCCATGAAATATCCCTTCCCACTGCTTAACATTCTCCTGCTTTTCGCTCTCTGCATTTCTGCCCCCAAGAAAACCAAGAAAAAAACCAAAATATAAATTCTCTTCCATTTTCCCAAACAAATCCCCACTGGGATTTTGTCCCAAATTGTTCACTCGTTTTCTCTCTCTAGTTTTTTGTTTTCCCAAAACCCAAATAGAAAAGAACTAGAAGATGGATCTTTCTAAATTCCCTACTATTGTGGAAAAGGCTGTCCGCATTCGGAAAAAAAATTGTATGGGGCTGGAGTGTAGCCTGGATGTGTACGCGCTGGTGGATGATCTTGATGATGCTATTGATGATGCTATTCAGAAGGCTCCACCAGAGAGGCGCAAGCCTGATGAGGTCATGAATTGGCTGCGCAGCGTGGGGGATAGGAAGCACGATATTCATCGGGGCTTAATAAAAGGATTTGTAAAAAATGGCAAGAAGTGTTGCCTCGTGTGGTGTCCTAATCCCAAATCTCAACTCAGCATGGAAGCACATAATGTCCAAGAAGTTACTGAACTGCTGAAAAAGATTAGGAGAATACATGAAGAGGCTCTCTTAAAGACTGAACAGAAAGTGGCTGCAGCAGCTGTTAAAGATTTCATTAACTTTGACTCTAGAAGGGATGTTTGGGAGGAGATCATGATGGCACTGCAAAGTCCAAGAATCAGCAGCATTGGAGTGTATGGGGAGGCTGGTGTAGGGAAAACGATGCTGGTTGAAGAAATCAAAAGAAAAGCCAAGCAGATGAAGTTGTTCGACGCTGTTGTCATGGCTAAAGTGACAAATAATCCAGACACGAGAAGAATTCAAGATGACGTTGCTCATGACTTGGGTCTAGAGCTTCCTGATAAAGTTACAGCTGCAGACCAAATAAAGTCAAGGCTAAACAACAGGAAGGTTCTTGTCATTTTAGATGACATTTGGGCAAGAATAGATTTGGAGGAAGTTGGAATTCCATTTGGAAACAAGCACAAGCAGAAGCTCAAACAGCCTACAGAGAAAAAGAACGAGGAGATCTCACCAGTAGAAGAACAAACACGGTGCCTTCTTTTGATGACATCTGGAGATTCTGGTGTTTTATCAGGTGACATGCATGCTCATAAAATTATTAAAGTTGGCCGATTGAAAGAGGAAGAAGCAAGGGAACTTTTTGCGATGACAGCAAGTGAGCAAGCTAAACGACGTATTGCAGAGATAAATGAGATTGTTAAAGAATGCAATCAATTGCCCCTCACTATTTCAACAATAGCAAGTACCTCGGAAGATAAGAGTCTAATACAGTGGAGGACTACTATGAAAAAGCTTCGTCTTCCAAAGCGGGTCAGGTCTGAGGTACCAAGCCTTTATTCCGTTATCGAGATGAGATATAGTGAGTTAGAAAGCGAGGAACTCAAAAAAACTTTGTTGCTTTGTAGTCTAATGGGTCATAATGACGGCATTCAAGATTTGTTAAAATATGGCATAGGCTTGGGATTATTCCCCAAAGCCACCTCTATTGAGGAAGCACGAGATGAAGCATTGAGATTGGTGAAAGAACTGAGGAGAAGCCCTTCTTTGTTGCAAAAAGGTGGGGACACCATGCATTTTGATATGCATGATTTAATTCAGAAAGTTGCCATATCAATTGCTTCTCGGGAGCATGGTCTGCTAGATTTGACAGAGGATGCAACTGAAGACATGTTTGACAAGAAGGCAATGAAAGAGTGCAAGTGGATTTATTTATCAAATGGTGATGCTAAACGTTCTGGTCACCTTCCATATATGTTGAAATGTCCACAGTTCACTTTCTTTCACTTAGCTAGCAAATATTCTGATTTGAAAATTCCAGAAAACTTTTTTTGGGGAGCAGATGGACTCAGAGTTTGGGTTTGACTAAAATGCATTTTTTATCAATTCCTTCATCATTTTCATTGTTAAAAAACCTTCACACCTTGTGTCTGGATCAAAGTAAGTTAGGTACAATCCTAGTCTCTGTTATGGAAAACTTGAAGAATTTGCAAGTCCTCAGTCTTGTGGGATGTGACATTGAAGAGCTGCCTCGGGAAACAGTGCAACTGGCTAAGCTGAAGTTGTTGAATTTGAGTGACTGTACTAAACTTAAAGACATTCCACCAGGTATCTTAAAAAGTTTGTCACAATTAGAAGAACTGTATTTGGGAAACAGCTTTGACCAATGGGAGGACATCGAGAAGCATGATAAAAGAAGAAATGCCAGCCTTGATGAGTTGACACAGTTGATAGAGGTGCGCATTCCTGACATCCATATGATTCCAAATGACTTTTTTGCTATAGAATTGAAACGATACAAGATTTTCATAGGAGATTTGTGGAATCATTGGGGCAGTTCTTTTGAATACTCAAACATTGAAGCTAAAGCATGATGGAAGCATTAGATCTGATAAAGTTAAAAGTTTGCCAAACAAGGTAGAGGAACTGCATCTAGAGAGGTTGAATGGTGTCAAGGATGTATTTAATGAGTTAGATCAGAATGGTTTTCAAGAACTAAAGTATCTCCATGTCAAGAATATTGATCTAGAGATTGAACATTTGTTCTTCAAGCCAGAGAAGGAGATTCACAGTGAAGTTCTTCCCAAATTGGAAGTATTATTTCTTCACAGTTTGAAGGGATTGCAAAAGATATTTCATGGCCAGTTTGGAAAACCATCCTTGGAAAGGTTAAGAATCATTACAGTGACATGTTGTAGTCGGTTGAAAAATTTGTTCCCGTTCTCTGTAGCCAAACAGCTTCACTATCTCCAAGAAATTAGAGTGACAGACTGCAGCGACATTGTTGAAATTGTTGATGAGGAGGAGGAAGAAGATGCTAATGTTATTACTGATGATGTAATTGAGTTGGCCGCCCAAATTAAGTGCTTGAGGTTACAACGTCTAACGGAGTTTATTAGTTTCAGCCATGAAAAGATTATTAGATCCCGAAGGACGTTACTTTTCAACAAAAAGGTATACATTTTAGGTTATTTAATTCTTTCTTTTCATTCTTTTTTAAGCCATACCTGTATATTTTTGGCAGAATGAAGCCAAGGAAATATAGAGGAAATAACAAGAACTTAACAGATTGACCAAAAAAAAAAATATTTCGTACTTTCTTTTTCTTATTATTTGTCAAGAAAATTATAAGATGTTTCCTAATAAGAAAGACATGTTGCGCAGCTTGTGGGACAACGGAGAATATGGAGTCTGACAAAACTGATAATTGAGGGCTGCGATCAGTTAGAAAATCTATTCTTTGAATCTATTGGTGATTGTCTGGAGAAGCTTGAGCACCTTGAAATAAGGGAATGCAAGAAGATGAGAGAAATTATTGTCCGAGAAGCAAGAGAGGGTATGTTTTGAATTCCTTTAGTAAATTAAACTTCTTGCTGATAAAGGACCTTCAAAACCTAACCAGATATTCTACTCAGGAGTGTCTATGTTCACATCTCGATCATTGAAGCAATTGGCTATAGAGAACTGTCCGGAGCTGAAGGGGTTCGTGGAAGACAACCGGGCTGACAAACCCATCGCTAGCACTGGTCTCTTCCATGATAATGTAATTTTCTTCATTTTACTTCCATTTTGAATTTAATTTTTGGTAACTTAATTAATTCTCATTTGTCTTTAATCAACAATGCAGGTATACTTTCCTACTTTAGAAACGATGTCAATCTCCAACTTGAAAAACTTGAATATCATTTGGTGCGAATTCAACTCAATTGACTTTTTTTCATTAAACTTCCTACACATAAAAGATCTTCCGAACCTCATCAGACTCTGCCAAAACCGTGAAGATAGAAAGTACAAAGGTAGCGAGTTGCGATCCTTGGAGCAGTTGATTATAGAGAACTGCCTGCAGCTGAATGGCCCCCTCTTTGATGAGGAGGTAAATTTTCCTCATTTTGCTTGCATTTTGGATTCAATTTTGGGAACTAATTCTCCTTTCTCTTCAATGAACAATGCAGTTTGTGTGTCCTAATTTGAAAATAATGACTGTCTCCTACTTGAAAAACTTGAAGATCATATGGAAAACCTTTTGCAACTTAAGATCATTGAGAGTTACGTATTGTCAGAATCTATCAACCATTTTTCCATGTAACAGTGGCATGCTCAAAAAACTCTTGGGATCACTGGAGGAGTTAGAAATAATTGGTTGTAGTTCAGTAAAAAAGGTGTTTGAACTTGGACGGTCAGAAGAACATAAGCTGATATGCCATCGCATGCTCAAAAAACTCTTGGGATCACTGCTGATATTCCAACAGCTAAAGGTCGTTACTATAGCTGACTGCCCAGATATGGTTACATTTGCTTCTACCATCTCAAGAGACCAAGAGCAAGGGACATCTGAACCCTTTTTCAGCACTAAGGTCAGTTTCTTTCTGAAGATTTTTCTTCTTTTTTTTTTTTTTCCTTTCTTTTCTTTTTTTCTTCAGTTTCAAGTTAAATGTTATTAATTGAATGCTATATGCTCGGGAAATCTCTGGAAAATTATTTAAA